TTCAAGCAGCGGCCATTATGTAGGACAGTTTTGATCCGATTTTCCCAAAATTCAAACTCAACCATCATCAGAGTGTAATAGTGTTATATTTAAACGTTCTTTAAAATCGGATAAAAATTGTTTTTGGTCCAATTTTTACGAAATTCAAACTCAACTATTATCAGGGTGTAACCTTACGGTGTAATATTACCGTGTAACGGTAATATATTTAAACGATTTTTAAAATCAGATAAAAATTGTAACAACTAGAGGGTCCACAAGTTGAAATCGTGATTTTTTCGTACAATCAGGGGACATAATCCAGGAAGTTACGGTCCGATATGCACCTATAATCCAATGGAAGCTCGTGGACGCCTGCAGAAGCCAATTCTCGTCGGCGCCAGGTGAACCATGAACGATTACAGGCTTTCTAAAGTATTTCTTTCAAGACTTATGGATGAAACAGATACTAATATATTTTAGGACTGGTAGTATCACCTTCTGTATGAAAAGATAAAAAAAGTTGTTAGTTTTTTGTGATGTACTGCTGTTAATTATCTCCAAAGTAGCTGAATTTAGGTTAATTTCATGGGTTATTGTTTCCTTTACCCAGTTTTAGTCAAGTTGAGTTTGTCATTTTTATATTTGGTAGCATGAATTTTCTTAACCCACCCCATGAAAGAAGAATTTAGATAGGCTTTGATATCCAGATCTCATTGGCCTGAATCATCTAAAATTAATTTTGTGGTACCAGCGCAAGATCATTTACAAACTGTGTTAGTTTGGTCTTCTTGCTATGTAGAGCAATGGTGTGAGGACTTGCCAAAGTCGGTGTTTGAGAAAAGACAGACTTTGGCAATTTCACTACATGAAAAAAATTTTTTTTTCAATTTTCTCAGTCAGGAATTGAAAGATTTATCTCATATTGCACATTTATGTGTTTTGGGAGTACCCCAACCTATAAACACAATTTGGTCAAACTTTGGTCAAAATCAGTGATCCCTTAGCACCTTCTGCCTGATGCTCTCATGGACACGTTCTTAAATACTTCAGCAATGGAAGTATGAAACAGAGAACAGCACATAATATAGAGACCTAACAGGTGTTAAAATCAACATGCTCTTTATAGCCATATTGCCTAAACACACAAACTAGATAAGGTTGAGGAAAGGGAGGCCATTCTGTGTGTGGCTGGAATAAACTAAAATAACAGATGAAGACTATCTTAAACAACATCTTCTTTGATCAATATGTTTGCTTCATTAACATGACAAACATTACAAATTATATTATCATCAGAGGATACCAGTGTCAGCCAAGAAGAACATGTTAGATTTTTCAATTTCTTATAAAATTGTTTGGGGCAACCCCACATGTCAATGCTTCCTCTCTAACTTTTCTAGAAAATTTCACCAAATTCTTCACATATTTTGCTAATTCATAATCCAGATACAACTATGAACGTTGTCATCTGGCTTGGAGACCTTTCGAACACTACACTAGTTTTCAAACTAGTTTATATATGGAAAAAATCCCTTGTAGACGATTCAACCAACGAGTTGTGGATGACTTAACTAGACTTTTCGTGTGGATGAGTTTGCTTGAGGACAAGTTAAGTGGCATTCACATGTTTTATCGGGTGGACTGTTGTACATTTATGTCTGTTTGCACATGCGCAAAAATGGTAGTCTTAATAAAAACACACTGCGATACCCAAACTCTCACACAATGTGTGAATAAGGCTTAAAAAAATAATGTAGACAGGTAAGAATTTTGCACTGTTAATTATTTCCTTTTAAAGCCTCTGTGAGAGGCTTGTATTATGTCAAATTATTTACGCACACGGCAACTAAAATAAAAGTACTGAGTGTCAAGCAAAATAATGATTTAATTGTTCACAACTCTAATGATATTTTAGAGTTATTTACCGAGTCCTTTTGAACAGATATCAGCGATTCCAGTATTGGCCAATACCGATTTCTACCGATAGGTTACTTATCAGTCAATTACCGATGTTGAAAACAATTATCAGACCATCACTAGTTCAAACAAACCAACAGTGAGGCTGATGTCCCCCGCCAAAATCCCCAAATAAATAGATGACACATATTAATTAATAGCACACCAAGTTTGAACATTTTAGCTCAATTATAAGGAGAGTTATTGTGTTCCAAAGTCTTGGCCAATCAAATTGCTTATCGCTCTGCTTACCCTGAGCAGAAAATGCTCATTATCGAACTTAGTCAAGGTATTGATGTAATGAAACTATACACCAAGTTTAATCACTCTCACTTAATTAGAACTAAAGTTATCGTGTCCCAAAGCATCAACCAATCAAATTGCTTATCTCTGCTTACCCTAAGCAGAAAATGCTCATCTTCGAACTCCATCAAGGTATTGACCTAATAAACACCTACACCAAGTTTGAACATTCTAGGTTAATTAGAAGGAGAGTTATTGTGTCCCAAAAAGTGTGACGGACGGACAATCAGACAGACAGACGAACCCATTTTAATAGTTCCCTGCTTTCTTCGAAAGGCGGGGACAATAAGGTTCAAAGATTATGAACATTTTTAGAATTATCTCACTATTATAAATCTATTTTAAAGAGTCTTTATCCAGTAAAACTATAATTCAATTGTATTTATTGTTCTTCTTATAATACCTAATAACCTAAATGATCAGTAACTGCTCCAGCAGATCGTATTTCAAGCAGTTAGTCACTGTCCAACAAAAGACCTGTCCACTGCCTTAAATCAAAATTGTTAAGTTCTGTTTTCACTGGAAGGTAGAAGAGTTTAAAGTAGGCATTTTAGTATTTACAGGGTAATACCACCACTTATATAAAATCAAACGTTCTAATAAGGAAAATCATTACTTTATCATTTCATTTTCTTTAAATCTTTTCTTTATCTCAAATCTGAAATGCAATTCCTGTATTTTTCGGAATGAGACAAAAGAGCCTTGAAGGCTTGTCTGTATGTTTGTACAAGTGTATCAAATATAAGGAGAATTTAGCTAGCAGATCAAAATACATCTACTACTATATTCTACCAAGTTCATATATCTTGCCAAATCACAAAGCAAAGGTATTTCCCTTAAAAATCTTTTTGAAATACAATACAGCAGACGTTTAGTTCTTTGTTGAATATTATTTACACAATATGGCTGTAGACCATCTTTTTATTATATACTAAATACTGTAATAAAGAGTGGTGGGGCTTGCCGACACCTGCAAAAACTTTAAAAAAAAATAGTAAAAATACTGGTAAGCTATCATGAATGGCCGTCCAATATTAGAATACTGCGTCTGCTGGGACATAAGGTATATCACGAAAAGTTTACAGCTACATAACACACATAAGCAAACAAACAGAAATACAAAGGTAGCAATCTTTCAGTTAACTTTGGTACAATTCGCTAGTACTAAATAAATACTAAAATAGATAAATATTTATATCAGTTGGACAATTGTCTGTTTCCCTGCATGAAAAAACATAAAACTTTGTTGGCAAGTATCAAAAAGTGTCTGAGGCTGTCATCTTTAAGTGCCGCTTCACAGCTCCTCTTTTTGTAGTATATCATCCGGTAGTCATTTAATAACAGTATCAAAGAATGTAAGATGGAATTCTATGTTACTGAGTTTGAGAAAAACCTGCCCAAAATTTAATGTTCTTCTTTTATCACTGTATTTATTTTCTCAGGAACATTTGCACATTGTGGTGAGAAGACTCTGGTTTTCAGGGATATTATTCTATTAAACCAAATAATATAGACAGATCGATCACACCAGTGGGGGAGGGGGGGAGCCCCGTGGCATGCACGCAAAGCACCAAGGGTGCGAGCATGCAGCAAGTGGTTGGGTCCCCTCATGGCTCCACCTTTGGATGACACTTGTTTCTAGAACTTCCCTTATCTGTTATTTCACTTCAGTGGTAGAGGATTTCAAAACAAAATCATGAGGCTACTTATCTGTGACTTTGGAATTAGGCTGAATTTGAATCTCCTTATTCCAGAAGCCAAGAAAGGTAGGTTGCGAGACAATGAAACATACCCCCATAGAAGCAAAGTCGTCAAAGCAGACAACAAAGGTCGTCACATATTTAGTATTTTGTAGGTAATGGGGGCTTTCAAAATACACTAAGAGTAACAAACTATTAAGAAACAATCATATATAATTAATATAAATAAAATTTAAATGGTTTCTAGTTCTCTCTCATGCTTACATTAACATTTATTATACAAAACATGTACCGGTAATCAGTTGATGATTTTAGTTTTTCAGGTTATTGGAAATTAACAGACTTCCTCATCTCATGAACTTTCAATAGTGGGGGGCAACTAATTTCCTGCACCAGACCCATGACAGCTAGGAGACATTACAACTTAAAATATCATTCAGGCGACTTATTCATGAAACTTAAACTAAATTATATTTAAAAATTCAGTCCTTTCATTGGCCAAGAGCTAAAATTTGTATTAAGATTTTAGTGATCAACCAATGAAATGACAACCTTAAATATGTAGTTAAAATTTTTATGAATTAGGCGCCAGGATCTTGATATGAGAGGATGAATATGTGATGCTTCTGTTTTAATATTCTTGTACTTTGTTCTGTCTCATGAACTTACAAAGGTGGGGGCAACTAATTTCCTGCACCAGACCCATGACAGCTAGGAGACTTTACAACTTAGAAATATCATTCAGGCGCCTTATTCATGAAACTTAAACTAAATTATATTTAAAAATTCAGTTCTTTCATTGGCCAAGAGTTAAAATTTGTATTAAGATTTTAGTGATCAGCCAATGAAATGACAACCTTAAATATTTAGTTTAAATTTTTATGAATTAGGCACCAGGATCTTTATATGAGAGGATGAATATGTGATGCTTCTCTTTTAATATTCTTGTACTTTGTTCTGTCTTTTGTTGAACTGTTGTCTACAGTCTATTTATTGAAATGCTCATGTTATTTGAATACAATATGTAGCCAATATTTTGGAATTTGGATTCTAACTTACCTCGTGAAATCTAGAAAAGCTAAATGTCCGTGATATAAAGCCGGCTTCTTCTCGGACCATGTAGTAATATTTACAGCAAATCTCATCTGAAATATGTAATAGAATCATTACAAATCAATCAGAAGTGGGTAAATAACTGGGTTAACATCCACTCCGCATAGCTACATCTCTTTGAATAAGGTAACATTGAATAAGGCAAGCCCAGTATGATTAAATATCTGTTTTTAAAGATTAAATGAAATAAAATGGGGTTTAACGTCCTACTGTTTGGCTCCAATTTGGCTAATGAAGACAGGTTTAAGTGGAAGTTATCTCTTGTTTACTAATGCTCACAAATATTGCCCACAAGCCTCTTGAGCTAAAACAAGGTTATCCTCAGTATTTATGTTTATGACACGAGACAAATAAGCCTATTGATTTTCAAAAATTTCTGATAATTACTGTCAAGTTGATCACTTGGGCAACTTTTGGGAACTCTAGTTAGGGATTAAAGTTAAATTTAGTTGACTTGACAGCAGTGATGGGATTTCAAAACTTTTCTTGTTGGACATTTTTTCCCGAAAATAAAGGGGCATAACTCTTATCGTTATTTAAGCAGGCGTTTTCAAACCACAATTAAGAAGCACGTGTCAACAAAATATTCAAATTCATACATAATAAAAAATAGATGTCAATAATATTCCTACAAAGTTATGTGACATCGTAATACTATAGAATGAAAGCGTGCAGATTACTGCCGATCCATACCCATTTCAAATTCCTCCTAAATTACCGTATTTTTCAGGTCACACATCGATACATTTTTATATTTTTCAGCAGAAGTCCGGCATTTGTCTTATACTCCGTTTCGACTTATATACAGAAGGTAAAAAAAATGACATCCCAAAATTTATTTGGCAGTAAACGTCACTCTACCACAATGAGCGAGTGACACCAACTGCTAAATAATTGCATTCGACTCTAGCATGCGCTATCGTCTAAATCAATTAATTAACTACTTAAACATTATTCCAATCGAAATATTCGTCAAAATTTCTTAGCATGTTTATTTATTTCAAAACATAAAGCCCATTCAAAATATGATCATAAATCCGAGAATATGCCATCAAAATAGAATCTTTTCTCCAACATCAGATGTCTGAGACTCGGCATAATTACATCTCTTAATTTCACGTGTCTCGCCAGATTTCTACTTTCATTTCAGTTATTGTACTATAATAACTGCCATGCGTGTGTGTGTGTGAAATAGCTTTATTTAACTTTGGCTTCCACCGAAGAAATATCACAGAAAAGTTATCTGATACAATGTATATTGATTAGGGGTGTTATATACTATTAGGATATGTGACATATACGACTAATTCCTACGTGTTGTCGGCCAACATTAAGGAGATTGAAACGTCAGACAATGGAGAAATCACAGGTTAATCATGTAGATTAAGTTTATAATCACTCTTATTGGATTGATATATAGTCCGACAAAGGAGAGGCAATGGCTTCTGTTCGGGATTGGATTGATGAATTCTCTGACAAAGGATTAAGTCTGAAAATCAAGGCAGATTAAGTAGTTAATCAAGGTAGATGTATAGATGGTATAACACGATAAATATGTTGATCACTTAATTAACTAATCAATCCAGCCTATTATCAACAATAATCGGGTTGAGTGGTAGTTATACACTCAGTATATATTATTCACCATGTCTTGATGTCCAATTGGGCATATTCCTGGTCTGGAATTATACGGGCGAATAGTGTTAATTTTGATGTTTTAAGAAGTTCGACAAGCGACATATAACTATAAGCATAGGATCAATTAATGCTTTTTATAGATCACTGAATGTTAAAGGGAATTGAGTTTTAACCTTCCATCAACGTTTTACCTAGATTATTTTTGATACTAACACATGTTTATGTTTTACTACGGTCAAGCGTACAATCCAAGGGATGAGGATTTTGCATTTATGCTTATTCTTCTGGTTTTGTCACACCGCTCATCATCAGATTATTCTTACTATCTTTTGAACTTCAGATTAAACAAAACAAGGAGGTTCTGCCATAAGCTTATTCACCCATTATTTTTTGTAATTTTTCCTACAAACCATAAATACATTCTCCAAGTTTATTTTTATATACAACAACAACACTCCAGACACGACTTATTCATTTTACCACAAAAAAGACATCATGTATTACAAAAACCATTTGTGTGTAAGAAATAGAAATCCATGTTTCAGCAGTGTATCGGACTGTTTCAACTTAAAACCGTAAACTACAGAAGATGTACATAATAAAATGGCAACACGATGGAACAAATTGTAATGCCAGGTTTTTATTTCCACTTTTATTTTGGTTTAGTCGTAACGCCAATAGACATATGTTGTGTATCAAACACATGCAAGTCGTAAACATTATGAAATACAGTAGATCTTAGCCTCCTATATCCATCTTAAATGTTAGAGGAAATATGGTGATATCATATGTTATATGCATGTCAGAATGGTGTAGATGATGATACGTAAACTCCATCCATTTCCACAAGACATAACAATCTCACTTTTTACACTTTATCTAAACATTAAGCTAAATTACAAACTAATGCAAGATAACATACCTTTTTTTAACTGTTTTATGTAAACTTTAGCCAGAATTGAAAAAAATTGTTTTAAAGATCATCTCGGCATGTTGGTGATAGAGAATTTTGTGTTTGGAACTTCTATAAATGTTTTCTGTAATACTATACCCTATTCTTGATGGTAGGCAGCAATAGAGGTCTTCAAGATTAACTGATCAAGGCAGGAAATTCTATAGCTGAGAAGCATGTTCTTTAAAGATATGGTTAATGCATGTTATTTAATAATACTGATAACTAAATGTTCTCTAAATCAATTTCACTGGAATGTCAGGAGATATGTTTTCAAAAACTTGTTGACATTATAACTTTGTAATATTATCATGTACTGTTAACATGTGTTTATGTCATTCTGGATTACCTTGTCTTGCTGGGTTATGTTTTAGATTTATGTTTTTAATCAGATCAAATGCCGATTTACTTTTTGAATATCATTTGAATGTTATTCAAATATTTGTTTCAATTCAAATTCAATCTCATTGAATTAATATTTTTATACATTTCCTCTAGGAGACATAAAAACTGATCAAATTGATTAGCTTCATATTGCTTTAAATGACAATAAATAACGAATAGGCCTACCAAATTATTATTTCAAATAAATCTTTAGTGTTCAACTATAAGTGTTCGTACCATTTAAAGAGCGCAAAATGTTGCCAAATAAAATTTTATGTACTTAATAGCCAGTTGTTACTATATCTTCCTCAGTATCACCAGTGATATCAGTTCATTCTACTCCACTGGCACTAACCTATGGGTCAATACATGGGGGAAGACACATATTCAAATTATCCACCCTTGATAATTGTGCTATTTTCATCAACAAATCCAAAAATTCACTAGTTGGTGAAGGGAAGTAACTCTTATTTTATTGTAACTAAGATCGCGAACCGGTGTTGCAAATTTGTCAAAATGTTTTTTGGACATGGTTTTGTGTGCATGTCACTTCTTTGACATTAAATTTCTTGCAACCCTTCTCATAATCAAGGGTACAAACTACTTTATTGTTATGAACATAAATCATGACGCTAACACTGGTATGTAAACTGTTTTTCGATTGGTTCATAGAATCAACCTACGATGAAGGGCTGATAATTTAAATTCGTGAAACCCTGTAAATGGACCCAGGGGTTAGTGGAGTAGAACGGAACGATACCACTGGGGATACCGAGAATGTCACTATACACTTTACGGTAAGTTCACACAAATCTGATTAAAATTAATTGAACCATCTTCACTCAACAAAGTCGCATTATTGAAAACACTCTTAATCCCCTCAAAGGTCAGTGACATCGCAGTGACTGAATGCATATTAGAAATGTTAATTCCTTGATTACCATACACAGCAGGGACATGTACTCATTAACACCTGACTGATTCCTTAATCCCCTAATAAAATAAAACAATTAACTATGGATTAATTTTCGTATATATATAGAATAGCTTAAATGAGTGTTTCAACTTTAGAATTTATTTTATAAATGCCATAAACAAGACAGTCACAGTAATCATAATCCTGTATCAAGTTGGTCAGAATATTTTATATTGGGAGTTTAAGCTTACAATAACAAGCTTTCAATTAAAACAAGATGTGCATGAAATTGTTATTGACAAATGATTGCTATAGAACCATCATACATGTCTTTTATGTATTTATCTCATGCAATGCACTCTTTTTGTAACGAAACAGTGGCAAGATGAATACAGTGACAAGATGTGTAGTCCCTGTGACGTCACGTTCCTATCAACTGGATTAAAACTGTAATCGAAAAATTGAAAAGTACTTTTAGAGGTTCTATCACATAAATGGCAATATATTGAAAATTTTTAATCAGATTGGTGTGCAATTGGCCAAGGTGTTTATAATAAATACTGGCTTCAAGTACCTTACGATTTTGATATGACCATTTTATGTGCTCTTTAAAGACATCAAAATTTCTATCCCTTTTAAATGTATATCATTTTATGTTTTTAATCTTCTATAATTTTATTCTAACTTTAGAAATTATTCATCAAATTAATAGGGTCCATTGCAAATAGTAAAATAAAGTCTGTGTTCAGTAAGAGTTGACCATAAAGGAGAGCAGCTAATTATTTGCTTATAATTCACAGCCTATCTGGAGCATATCATTTCTTAGAATATTTTGAAAGGAGGATTGTGCAGGGATCATGTTTATATCCAGTTTGGTTTACGTCCTGTGTAAATAAAATATAAGTCCCAATGATGGAGCCAGAATGGTTAACAGCCAATGGCCTGGCTGGTATAGACAACATGTGCATACACCTGGTAATAGTCGGCTACAGATAATATAATTGGGCAGTCTGAAGAGAAATGACCTGAGATGAACTACTGACATTTTAGTGAATTGTTTAGACATTAGCCACATATCTTTTCTCTCTTGTATACCAGTTAATTTACTTGCAGGTTTAAACATTTATAAATACATCGCCTCTTTACTGCCAACATGTCACCCTATGACCTTACTGTAATTACAAACACAAGATACCCCCATACAATTACATCATACATTTGCCACCCCATAAAATAATGTAGACCTTCAACATCCCAACATTTATTGAATTGTCTACTCAAGCCTATTTTTACAGAGGTGTTTGAAAATGTTTAAATCACTGTAATTACGGTATACATGTATGGGTGGGAATCCACTGTTTTCAAAGCAAATTTCATAACCCATATGTGTTAGATAGAGTAGAACCCATACACCAAACACATTTTTTTTGCCCTGGGCATTCACCTGCATCGTGAACTGAATCAGACTGCATTCGACATGTGGACGATTAAGATCCCTGGTCTATAAAGTATATGTTTCAGGTGCTGTACTTGATGAAGAACACTGGAAAACGAGAAGGGGTACGGCAACACTCCCTTGAATAAGTAGAAAAGCTGGACAGGCTGGTACATCTGCGTAGGATCTGGATCAAAAAATGATACCGGCGGGGCGGAGTAGTAGAATAGATAAAATTAAAGAATCCCCGCAAAAAATCTTTTAAATCTACAAGTCTGTTGCTGGTTCTGTTTTGCGGGGATTCTTTAATTTTATCTATTGATGAAGAAAAGTAAAATCTATCTGCATATTGTACAGGGGAGGAAAAAAGAATCCGGAATTATGGGGATATATCTTGGTGTGTTTATACTGTATGTGTGTTTTTATGGTAATTTTCTTGGTCATAGACCCACATTCAAGCAACTGCATCAAGTTTTTGAAGATTAATCACACAAACTACTGCTTCTATCAGCTATATATTAATTAATGGGCATATTATGCAGTTGAACACAAAGCGGGGTATGCTTTATTCTATGAGAAAATAAAAGACAATGGTAATGTACTAACCTGATCAGACAGAGACAGTGTCCGAGAATTTTTACTTGTATTTAAATGAAGAACATGGAATTTATTTTGTGTGCAGAGATCATAGGCCATGCCTGCGAAGGAAGTACTGCCAGTTTTTGGTACACGATTATAAATTATTACTGTATCATCTTCAGCTGGTTCTGTTGTTGATTCCTGAAAAACATAAAATTAAAAAATTAATAATTACATGAAATATTATACTATTTTTCAATTCATAAAACCTTCAGAACTGTATTTATACATTTACTTTTACAGGTTCTCAATTAAACTTCAGTTAGACCTCTTGTAACCTGTTTAATAATTACCCATAAAGATGGGTTCCCGCGTACAAACTGGGTGATTTAATGGTATATATAAACCAAAAACATATTCAAACTAATTAATTTGTCATAATTATGCTTCAAATCCTTCTCAAACATTGTAATTGCGAAGGAATGCCCTGCTATTAAAATTCGATCAAACCAGGTCATGTTTACGTCACGTCTTGGGAGTCAGAGGAGAATTCGTTGCATACATAAGACGATGTTGTCTTTAATCGCTTACTATTTATTACAAATATCCAATCCTAATTAAATTCTCTGATTATCCACTACCCGCGTCTTTTTCCGTCATTTTTATCTCAGAAAGTATTGTACGTCTAACTCTTCATAAAGTTTATCAACTTGTACATCAAGCGCTCAAAGTTCGCTTGTGACCTTTGACATCATGCGTGCAGAAGTTCATAATCGCTGGGCTGTTGATTAGGGGAACCCTTACATTTTTGTCATATAATACGCTCCATGAGTGTTTTTCGGGGAATCCAGTATTTTTCTAGTAAGATTGGATATCTCTACTTTCCATATATACCAAAATTGCCATACTTTTATTGGAAACAACCACCCGATAAATACTTTTCTGGGAACCCATCTTTAAAGAAAAGGTTGACAAACAATGTGCACTATTTGAGATTGAAGTTCCGTCCTTTTTAGCAGCATAATGAATAATATTCAAAACATAAACCTGTACTAGATCCAGCCAGAGTAAATACTTTGATTCCCATTTTATAGGTACATGTACATCTTGATATACTGTTGTCTTCCCTTATGACACTTACATAAATTTCAGCATGCATGGTCTCATCAACAGCAATTTCACATTTAGGGTGATACACATCTTGAAAACGTCTGACAACATAATTCAGGGGTTTACAAACTTTCCATTGTTTATCAAATTTGTCAACAGTGTCTGGGGTATTATCAGCAAAATGAATGCAGTATAAAATTTGCAGATACTTGGACTTGTCATAGCCCGGTTGAAACCAGGAGTCTACAAAAACCAATGTTTGACAAATATATATATGCAGCCAAACAACCTTTCTTCTGATCTAAGTCTGAGGCACAGAAATATCAATCCAATCTTCATGAATATCCTTACTTTGCTTAGACTGGGAAACAATATCACGTAGGTTCAAATACATATAGTCTCATTAAAAGTGATCACATCCCCAATACTGTGATGATTTTTAACACAATTCTCATAAGCAAATTTTACATCTGGACTTTCATTCAAAGTATATTTCTATTCAAAACAATTAACTGCAACTGTAGGGCTAACTTCATCATGATTATCTTAAAAAAATCTTAAAAGTTACATCTTCATTCTGTCTCAGACAATAAATTATATCACTGTTCAGAATCTTGAAAATTTGCTGTATAAAACTTTGGGAAAGGTTTGTTTCCTACACTAATAATATCGCTATCTACATTGTCGCTTGAATCACTATCGAACAGACTTCTTCATCACTGACTCGCTCTAAGTCACTCTCCCAAGTTGTGTCAATGGGTTCCCAAAATGACAGATCTGCTAAGATTCCACAATCAATTTTTGGCCATTTAATAACAAGAAAAGATTGAGAAAACATCCAGAACCGTGGTCTGGATAGTAAACAACCCAGAGTTATGCCCCTATCAGAACTGGTAACTGCCCAGGTAAAATTTTAATAAAGCATTCAACTACTCCAAGACACCTAATAAGGTCTATGTACAGTAGTTGCAATGGTTGGTTTTTTTTTTTATAGTACTAGTAGAAAGGGGTAAATATGATTAGTCACTTTTCTGTGAGTGAAACTGTTACAAGGTATCCCACTTTAATTTCAAGATCAATAGTTCATGCCCTGGTTGATTGAAGCTACCACATTGACCTGAAAACATTTAACAGATCTTACAACTGAAGAGAGATTTCCACTATATTTATGTTGAAATGGTTAACACACTGATCAAGATATAAACACAGAACTGTTATTACCTAAACAATAGGCTACTTTATCATGTAAATTGTTTTTTAATAACTTAAAAGGTACATTAAGAATGACAGAGAATTGAAAAACACTTTTACTGTGCATGCTAACGCGGCATAAAATCATTGATTATATTCGAATGACGGAGCATAAAAAATGGGAAGACACAATCGTAGGATCGTTAAAGGACTTAAAAACAATTCCTAGAATTTTAAGGAATCAATATCGATAATTTAGGAAGCAAAAATTTATCGCACGAGGAAGACGATAAAAGATGTTAACGTGGTGGAAACCCTCTGCGTTGGAAATTATCATCTGGTTAAGAAAACTAAATGAATTATTTATTCACCTTTCACAGGTAGTAAAAGCTTATTTTAACAACTATTTACTCTATTTCCAACTCATTAACAAATCCACAAAAGCTTCATCTTTAAGCAGCAGCTTCAAAGTGTTTATTTTGCCTGGAAAGACAAACCTTTCAACTAATTTAATGGTTTCTCTGCCAGTTTGGTGTGAAAGTGGTTCTTTAACAATACATACCTACATGGTCAAAGTAAGTGGAAAGGTAAAGTTGTCTTTTTCACATTTGTAGTTTCATTTATTACCAGAAAAAGATGGGTGGCAAAAAAATGATTCAAAGCACAAACTGCAGACCATAAGGTCTGCTATCTACACAAGTCATGTGTTCAATCGAAGGAATTATTAGTGAGCAGAAATTTGGTCGTGTATCTGTTATCACTCGTCACATCAGTCAGCTATATAGAGAGATGACTCGTGTTTTCCTTTGGTGTTCGTCACTTCCGATTTAACCAGCTCTATCACATATGTGATAATGACTGGCACCAATATTGTCCTTTAAAATAGGTCTTCATCCTTTTATATATTATGAAGCCAATTTCACTAACTTCCAGTGGAAACACAAAGATATGGTTTTTTTTAATGTTGATAAGTTTTTACTCTTCTTAAAGAAGTTTGTGGACCAATTTAGTTTTAAACAATCACACATTCGCTACTTGACTCATCTGATACTTTCTTTCTATTAAGATTCCTAGTTGGTTTCCCCGCTGTTGATTGTTGGTGAAATGATTGTGAACAGATTATAAAGTAGTTTAGATCAACTTCAACTGCATGTTGATTTACTTCCCTTCACCAGCACAAAATCCTGGATTTGTTTTAAGCTGTAAATTGCTTCTAAATTACAAAACTAAAAATAGACTACACAATTGACTCCAATGTGTAAACACACAGATTGTCGGTAATGTTACAGATTTGTATTGGAACTACAGATTTTTCTGATTTTAAATTTACAATCTATTTCCATGAATTGCCAATAACCTGAATGTACGGATCCTCTCTACAGACTCTTTGTCATAAAAGGTTTTAATGTTCTTTGACCAGAATCAACTCCCACAACAATTATTCTGCATCCAAAGTTGTTTTAGAGAATCATAGATTTGGGACTCATTTTTTTTACCAAAACAGTCAAACTGTATAACATTTTAGAAAGCTGCAACATCCTCAACATAAACTTGGTCATTTCTGGACTAACATATGGCATACTGTTTGTTCAATAATTCGCTTCCATGAGGTGGTCCTTTGCAGGAAATGAAAACTGGACAAAACCCCAAAAGTTTAGGCAAGCAACAAATATCCTAGTAACCTATATGTACAATATGTACATTACAAGCATGGAATCAAAACCATGACACTTGCATCAATGTCAGATGTTACAATTCCCACCCCAAATGTTAACAAATAGAACAAGGTATGCTTACACATTATAGTACAAACAATTTAAAATCCTACAGTGAATTAAGTTATTATCTTTGGACAGCAGTTGTTTATGCAAAATCCAAATGTAAAGATAATTGTAGTCTACTTCATTTTTATTGTTCATTTTCTCAGATATCATAAATATTGGATTTGGCTATAATTTTTATGTATACAGATATTATCTGGTGATTATAATAAGTAATAAAGATATGCTACGTGATTATTACAATATTGCATGTTATACCCACTATAAATATCATGTAACAACCATAATAAGATATTGTAAATCAATTGAAAATTACATTATAATTAGTTCTGATTCTACTGGCACGTTTATGTTAGTGGTGTGTAGAATAGCGTAAAGACCTGCTACATATATATACTAGCTGATTGGCTGTTTTTCTCATCAGCAGGTCAGATGGTAATACGTATGATAATATAACACATCCCATCTCATGGTAAATCTATTCAGCATATTCTCATCATAAATCACTGCAGATTATCATTTCTATATGTCTTTATATATGAATCTAACTTTGATGATTTGCTGATAGAAAAATTGTTCATGTGGGTGGTCCGGGATTTCTTTATTACAATTAGAAACATTGAAATATGGAAATTTTACCTTGTCAAAGATAACTTTCTGACCTCAATATCTGTTAACATAATCTAATATTCTTTGAGCATATTTATTGTTAATTCAATCAAAATTAGGACTTTCAATGCCTGTTTAACTACATTACATGTAATTTCTTGGATTATTTCCAATAGCTGGCAAAAACAAAAATACCAACACATTATCGGAAGGGGACTAAGTTGTGAAGTTCTTATTGACAAAGTTCACAAAAGCAGACTTTCCCTTTAAAAGATAACCTGCTTCAAATCCTTTGGCACTTTTTATATGCTAAATATATATTATATATAATATATATTATATAGACATTATGATCATATATTAACTTTCACAGTAAAATGCATATCTACTAGCTTTCCAAATAATTGACACAAAACCAAGGAATTGACATTAAAAATAAAATAAGCTTATATCAAATGACAGAAACTACAACATAGTGGTTGAATTGATCAGAAAAATTAACCAATTTTA